TTTGAATTTGATGGTTTATCATCATTTTGATGGGTTTTCATGGTATTTCATGACGATGATGATGATAATTGGATGTGTAGAATGATTTTTCTTCCCAGAGTATGGAATAAAATCTAACTAAAATAATACATATTCTGAGTCTAGGAGGTGGATAAGGTGGAGTCGAAGTTTTTTTTATATGAATTCCATTCATGCTAATCTATTCTGATCTCATTACACGGTTCACTTTCAATTAGTTTGACAAGTCAAAGATTCAACTTGATTATCTTTACCCATGTAATCATTTTTTTTCACTCGATTTTCTTTTCTTTTTTGATACCATGGTGAATACATGGTACATTGAATGTTATGGATGAAAAAGATTCCTCCTGATAATCAATATTCACTGATGAACAAAAAATGCTTTCTGATTATTTTCTGTGTTTGTGCTTCTTATCCTTTTTTTTTCTTTGGTGATAATCATTTCATGGAAAAGGGTTAGATAAGGTGGGGAATACTCATCATGACATAAACATTAACCAAATCCTTAGAACTTCAACTTTGTAGGAAAAAAATTCGAAACTTTTTCAAGAGGTTCAAAGTTTACTGTTTTGTACTGATTAGCACCGAGTCGTAAATTTCAAACTTCACCGTGTAGTTTTCATGAAAAATATATGAATAGAGTTCCTTTTATTATGGAAGTGATAACCATCGAAACTCATTATCATCATAAAAGAAACTATCACCTCCATGTTAACAGAATCTTTCATTCAATGAGAAAAGGTTCAATATCGATTCAGAAACTTTTTCTTCGCTTAGAACATGTAAGTTTCAGTTGGTGATATAATTTTGATGGTGTTTTTTTGTTTCCATGATGAATTGAATTTTCTTTTTTGACCTTTTCTGTTCGCAATCTTTTTTGATTTTTCTACTCGATTACCTATTTTAAATTCAAGATGATTGGTCTATTATTTTTAACTATTTCCCACTTGACATCATACCTAAAACCTTTTCTCCTGCTCAAAACTGTTCTGAGACTTATCATCGTGATGAATTGAAAGTTCATTGAAATTGAACCTTGCATTTGCAAGATTTATCTTATTTTTGATTTAAAGTGACCATAATGAACCTAAAAGTTGAATCTTGACCACTAAACAATAGGCAAATGAATTACGCTCATTCTTTAGTACATACTGAATATTGCAAGTAACCCTATGAAATTCATCACTTTATTGTCTATGGATTCATCTCAAGGATCACAAGAAACCTGAATATCTGAATGTCTAAATGCCAACTGAGAAAGTAATTAGTTCTGGCCAAGTGTTTTGATTAGTTATATCGATAACTATTACATGCTCTCAGTTTTCTCTCTTCAAAGTTTTCGAAACTTTTCAAAACTTTCTTTCAAGCTGTTCGACATGAAATATTCAGTAATCATCTTTTTTTCATTGATTAACTTTTGATGAGGACTGGAAAATTGATGAATGACATCAAAACTATTATTGATACAAAGATTATGATTACTAAAAGTATTGGATAACATTATCATGTAACTATCAGTTTTCAGTGGTAAAGTTCAGCTTTATGGTTAAGAAAAGTTCTGGTTGAGTAAATGAAAGTTTTTTTTGATACCAAATGTCATATACATAGTAACCAATGTTATCTTCAAATTACTTTTCTTTACTAAAATCCAGCCCTTATCCCTGTTTTCTTATGAAGATAAATGAATAGTTACAAACGATTTGACGATGATGATGATGATTCTTGATGATGAAAACTATGGAGAAAATGAGAGGAGAAAAATCCTTATATTAATAATGATAACATCGATTTTCTGTTACTTCTATTTGATTGGATTCATCAGGAGGGAGAGAGAGAGATCAGATCAGATCAGATGATAAGTATTCCTAACGAACTGGGAGGTGAGAATAGGAAGAAAGCAAATGATAAGGTAAACGAAAAGAAATAAGATGAGGATGATAAGTTGACGAGGGAGTAAAAGATTGTACCATTATACTAAATGAAGTTGTAGATGATGATGAATTCTGTGAAAATGAGAAACATCATTCAGTGAAAACGAGGATCAAGATGGAAAGTGAATTGAGGAGGAGATGTGGAAAGGGTTTCAATCTGAATTGTATCTGAATGAGATTGGATGATAAACATGATGATTAAAAGATGGATAATGGTAATAATAATATAATGGTCAAGATGGCGGAAAAAAGTTCTAATAACTTAATATTGATGAAACAAAAATTTTGAGGTCACCATGAAATGAGAAATATTCATTTTCATATCATCTTTCAATGGTGATAATGATAACCAGCTAATGAGGTCAGTTTAGTTTGATAAATGACCATCGTGGGTTGAAACGATTTCAGATTTTGTAATGTCCAAAAATTGGCCGGTTAGTCGAGGAAATGAAGTAAAGCTCAGCACGAAAAAAGCGGAACAAGAATAAAATTTAGGTTTGATTAGGAATGGTGGAAACAAATTGAGGTGGAAATGATTAGAATTGGTTGGGAAATGAATTCGATTCATTTTTCTTCTTTTCAGTGAAAGAATATTAATTCAACCATGAGGGTATTAACACTAATCATGTGAAAATTGATGATGATGAACATGATGATAAGCTAATAAATTAGTCTAAATAATCATCTTTATCCAGTTCAATCAAAGATAGATTCCAGGTGAATCAAGTTAATCTCATGAATAATCAGAAAGTTCAGTTGAAAAGGGAAATTATTATTTCTTTTATCGTGATTTTTATTACCTAAGAAAAATAATATTCATGCTTATCATTATCAAATTAAGGTGATAACAATCAGGTAAATAACGAAACCATGTAGTAATCAATTCATTCATTACTCTTGATAATATGTTCATTTTGTGAATCACGATCAAAATACTGATAATTATTGTTGTTATTACCGATTGGTCAAACATTCAGTTCAACCTTTCTGATCAATGCTTTTGAAATAACTGATTACATGTTAGATAATCACTGTAATCAGAAATTAGAGATAAATTATTTTGTTCTCATCAACTCAGCATTTCCGTTTTCTTATCAGAGTCACTCAATTCTGAGCCAATTATATTCCACAGGTAGTATTATCTTATTTTCATGGTAATAATAATAATTTCCATACAATTGATCAGCAGATTATCCGAATATATAATGAATAATTATACATGCAAGTCAACAAGGAGAAAAAACTTTTTACCGAAAGTTAAGATTCACCTTTCTAAGCATTTGCAGAGTATTAATAATAATTAATAAGATATTATCAGAATCTCCGTTAGCAGCTGATTCAATCATGGATGGAATATTTTCTGCTTTTTGGATTTGTATCAGAATATTTCGTAGAATCCTTACAGATTTTGACCAATAGCATTCGAAAAGTAAATCTTATCCAAATCATTAGTGCAGAGAGTATGATAAAGTCAATCAACAATAACCAAATTTATTTATCTTTTATATCAATTAGCTAATTACATTGTTGATTAATATGAGGATCACCTTTATATTAATAACAAATGGAGTGAAAACCATCATAATCAAAATTCTTGTGTTGGAATATTTTTTGTTCTCTCTCTCTCTCTCTCTCTACGTTTCTTTCTCCATGTGACAGTTTTACAATTAACAATTTTATCATCAACTATTGTCTTACCTTTGTCAAGCTCATTTTCAGGGGATCATTATAGTTATCAAAGTAATAATTTAATGTTTGACCTAAATTATGAACTCAATGTGAATACACAATTTGTCTAAATTATTATATCTGAATATTAAGTAGCTAGTATTATCATAAACCAGGTAAATGTTATAACATATTAATTGATGATGGTGATGATGAAGATGATGAAGATGATAAATGTCTTTCGAGTGGGTATTATGATTATATTGAGATGTGCTGGTTATTGATAAGGGATATGAACTTTTAACCATTTCTGCTTTTCCTGAACTCTCTCTCTCTCTCTGACTCTTCCAGGGTATTCAATTAATTCCCACAGTAATTTTGATGGACACAGAAATGAATGAAAAGACAGGGTACTTGGTACTTTTTTTAATTTACCATAATTACTATTGGAGAATGATTTTTACTAGATGAATACCCACATGTTTCATATCCAATGCGGGTTCATGTTGGGTGGATATTCAATGAGAATTTGGAACTTTTTATTTTATGTATTCATCTTTTTTCTCTTTTTTCAATAGTTTTCTGTATACAATTTTTTTTCTTCTACACTTTTTATTCATATGTCGTGACATTTGATTTGATACAAAAAAATGATGGAGGATATTCATTGTTATTCAACATCAAATTACTACGAGAAAAAAATTCGTGTCTACTGTTTTATTATAAACCTTCACTTGATCACTACCAAATATCATGATCAACAATTAGTTAACAAGGTTTACAATTAACTTAAGTACATTTTCGAATTGTAATAAATTATTGTTATCGTTGAGAGAAAAATTAATTCCATCTCTTTGGAATCATTATTTTGGTTGAACTTTTCAATCTTCCAATCAGATTAAATTAATGTTTCGATATTAAATGAATACATGAAAATGATGATAACCTTAATTACGAACTTTAATTATCATAAGAAAATGGTGATAATTGAATTACATTAATGATTAGTATCTGATTGTATTAAATACGAGAAATTGAATGTTGATCAATAAAAATTGTAACTTAGTTACATTGAATTGTTGACAAAAAGTTTTCTTTAATTATTTTTCTGTTTGATTGATTAGTTTTTCTCAACATGATGTTGATTGATAGTTTAATTAAGTGTCAACTCTTATGTATAATCTTAATTGTGATTAAACTAGTCTGAGAGTAAGGTGTTGGTTGTTAACAGTTAAATCACATTGTGATAATTATTTTGACAAATTAAATGATTAATTTCATCTCTTAATTAGATTAGTTAATCTAAGAGAGACTCTTGAACAATTATCAATTTGCTCAAAGTGGTTAACTAATTAAGACTTAAATTGACTGAGAGCTCACCTTTTCCAATATTAGATTGACAATGTTAATGTTAATTTAATCCGGTCACTTGTTTGTAATGATGATAAATCACAATAAACACAATCACAACAATTAGTTAATCCACTGAGTTTTTATTGTCAATTAATCCGAATCAATTTCAAGGGAAATCAGTTAAATTAAACTTAACAGTTTATTGATTTGTACTCCAAGATTTTTATCAACTTAAATCGCAAACAATTTATTTATGATTAACACTTAATCTCAGTCCGTTGATAATAAGATGATTTAAGATAATCTTGATCACTTCATCAAATGATGATCCATAGTTTTTACAATTTGCTAGTGTTTTTTTTATCATCAACAATTTATTTCCAGGTAAGTTGATTGTTTCACCTCAATGTAAAGGCTGTTGATTGAACTGAAAAGTTATATTGAACATCATTCATGGTGAGTATTCAGTTCCCTAGTATTCAAGTGAGCGTATTGCGAATGCGCATTTTTCGTAGATGGTCGTTGCTAGAACTTATTAGACCTTTGTAGTTTCTATTTTTTGAATGGAACTTTAGAATCCATTTCGTGTATTAATAGTTCTCATTGTAAATGGTTAGATTTTGGCGTATGTATAAGCGATAATTTTTCGCGAATTCAAGTCAAGCCTCAATTCTCGATAGGCTCTTGTTCGTGAGAACAGGTGAATGCTGTCGAGTTTTCGTTCTATTCGATCTCATTAGATGGCGATGATCAAATTGGACTTTTGTCTCCATCAAGTCGAATTCGCTTCCAAAAGATGGAGACTATGTTCTTAGAGTTTTGGTCTTTGATGTTTTATAGCAAAGAACGCATACTCCATGAGAATCGATGTAGAATCTGAGAGAAATTCTGAGAGCATTAAGAGTTGGAATTTCAGTTATCGAAGAGTTTTACGAAAAACAGAAATGTTCGAAAAAAAAGTTGACAACAATATCAACGCAGTAAAATGAGTTGAAATAAAAGTTTAGTTTCTTTTGTGATATGTTGATAATTTAACGAGTTCGAACTGTGAACCTTTACATAAACTTAGAACTATGAACTTATCGAAATTTTCACCAAGAATATCTTTATCATCTACCATAGTCCTCTTATTATCAGGTAAATAAAATAATCATCATGTTGATTGAGTTTTTAACTAATCATGTTTCTTTTAATTGTTATATAACAGTGCAACTAATTATCATTATCAATACTTCAATCGCTTGTGTCAATTGTAATCCAAATGATAATGATGTTGCAATTAAACAACAGCAACAATCATTACCAACCGTTGGAGCACCTTGTGCATCACCGGAAGTTCTGGTCAATGGTTCACCAAGTCCGGATATACTTGACATGGTGACCGGAGGTAAATCTTCAACTTTCACTTCAATAGAGGAGATACTTTTTGTTGGTCAGTTGAGTCCGAATGATGAGAAACGCATTTGTAAAATCAAATGTATCAAAGGTGTTTGGGTTGGACCAATGTGTGCATCTAAACCAGGTAAGTTCATGATAACTGAACATTAATGAGAATCCATGGAAATTAAAATAGTATTTACTCTGAATTTATCCAATCAATCTGATCAACCAAACATTTTGGTAATAATAACAACATTTAAGGTTAAAGTTAATCAACCTGGTGAGCTTAATTAAAATCCAATCAGTTCAAACAATCAGATGGTGTTAACAGTTATTGAAAATAAGTAACTCTATCAATGTTTATTGATTTTTATTGAGTTATTCATTCATAACTAATAATATTATTCCAGTTCCAGTTCATGAAAATGATATTAGCGATTGAAGGTAATCGTGATTATGATATCTTTCACAGTCCATTAGGAATCAATTATATTGGTTACATTGTGTTTATATTAATATGAGATGAATGAGAACAGGAAAAGGATAAAAAGTTCTGAAAATTCTGAGAAAACTTTTTTTGTTCAAAGCCGAAAAAATCATTTCTCTTCATCTTTTCTAAGCTTTTAATGATCCTATCGGTTGATCTAATGGTGAATTCAAGTTTTTTATTATCTTTCCACCCTTAGTATTACATTTAAGTAAAGAGGATATTCATTTGATTATGATAGAGAGATATTATCAGAACTGAATGATACTAAATGATTTTTATTAACAATCAATTGATTCAATTGTCATTAACAGGAAGCGATATATTTGAACATCCAACATTTAAAGATTGCCAAATGAAACCTAAATCAAGTGAACTCGTTATAACTCATAATGTTTCACAAATTGTTCTGGATCGAGTTCAAACTTTTACTGACCAAAGTATCATTAAGGTAAATGAAACTTCATCATGTATTGAACTTTTTTTTCGTTAACTTTCATCTCTCTTGAAACACAAATTTCACAGGTACGCTGTACCGAAGTGGGTCTAGCCAAATTTACCGGATACTCTGAACTTCAATGTATCAAAGGTGTTTGGGATCACCCGTTACCGAAATGTGAAGAGACAACATTGCAAACCAATTTTTCTCGTAAGTTTTTGGTCTCTCACAAATTATTATGATCTACGCAATCGGATTGAAATTGAAATTGCAATTCTCATTTGAACAACTTAGACCGATACTTATCATGTTTATCCTTTGAACAACTTGATCATGTTAATGTTTTATTATCATTGTCGCGAATACAATGATAATCTGAGTTAATCACATTCAAAATATATTTCAATTCTCTTTCAACATTTTCTTTTAAAGAATTGGTATTATTTTCTCATGGCAAGAACTTTATCTTCTTCATGTTGAATGTCTCCATTTCATGTGGGTTTTATTATCAATTGGTAAATATTTGAACATTTTAAATCTCTTCTGGGAGAAAGTATTTTGATTAGATGATAAATACTCAAGGAAAACCATGGAATGATAAAGATGATATTTCAATTGAATCCTTGGAATACAATAAGAATTTATATGAATTCCAAGATAACTACTAGGAAAGTTTTCTAGGAAAAAATAGAGAATAGAATGATTTTCATTTTCAATATATATTCATGGGAGAATTTGAAGTTTTGGGTTAGTTAAAATGGAAAAAAAATTTACAAAAGAAAAGCCAATATGATCATGGTTATCTTTGAATACTCTCTAATAGCAGATGAGTGAAATGTTATCGACAATGATTCAGAAGAAAAAAATTTGTGTCAGAAAAAAACTTCCAAATTCTGTGATAATTAAAGTGAATTAGCTTGATAAGATGTCAAAGTTCTGGTTTGAGAAGACGAAAAAAACTTCCCCGGAAAATTTAACATGTAAAAAGGCTGAGAATCCATTCAGTTGACTGAATAATGGAATATTGAAATTGAGTAAAATAAGTCAACAGTGTTGAAAGTTATTCCCAGTTGATAAGGTTGATTGGAATTCTAATCTGATGAAGGAAATGTTACTTTTCTATTCCTGTGTCTTTAATTTTGGTATTTCCTTCAGCTAATCAAAGCATTTTTGTTGAACATTTTTTTCCCTATCAAACTAATTACAACAAAAATGAATTCAGTCCATAAGGATAACATGAATGCTACAACAGTTTCAGAGTATTTGTTATCTTAGTAGATTCACTTAATACATGGAAAAGAGGAACAAGCTAATTAAAATGTTGAAATTCATCGATGACAACATTTCAATTGGCAACTCATGTTCATGTCTAATCTAATACTCAGTGAATCATGAAGAGTTCATAGCATCTTATATTAATCATCGCTTATTATTAGTCAATATCAACATTTATCTTCGAAGGGAGAAAGATGTGAATTCTCAATATGTGATTAATGAGTCTTGATTGATACTATTATTCCGAGCACTAATATTAACCTCTCGATATCTGATGATAATTTTTGTCTTTTCTTTTCTTGTTTGAAAAAACTTCTCCCATGAAAATCCTCACCTTTATCATTTCAGTTGACTCACCTCCATCAATTGTATATAGTGTAACCTCAGGTGATGTTGGGATAACAGATTCTGGTGAACTATTGATTACTCCAGGAACTGTACTTCATCTTGATTGTTTATTTTCACGATCAAATGGCGATCCAGAGTGGACATGGACAATGGCTCAAAGGTATTTGTCTTTATCATTTATGTTATTAAATATAAACATCATTTTTAACCTTGACCTTGTTTCCTGTTATCACCTTTTGCTCATCTTTATCATGAACCTGAGAACAGTCAAAAACAAGGTATCAACTATGTTTTCTGTTCACAAGTAACATTTCATGCAAGATTAATTTCAATACCTTCAGTTCAACATTTTTCGTTTAAATTTGCTTTTACAATGAGTAGAAAACTAAATTTTTTGATTAAAACTCATTTTTAATTGTTTCTTAAAATTAAATGTAAAAGCGAGTTGACTAAACTCCTCGAGAACTTGACTAAATGATCTGAGAATCGTCGAAACTCACTGAGAACTAATTGAAGAAAAACTTTGCCCTCTGTCGGATTGACGAAACCGAATGGGAACTCGACTAATTATTAATAGTTGAGAACTCGGCGAAAGTTACTGAGAAAAGCTGTAATCCAACGAATACAAATCTAGTTTCTCAAACAAAAAGATGTGAATTCAAATTGAAAACACTGTATTCAATATTTCACAGCGATTTTAAAGTTAGCATTAGATTATCTTCCAATTAGTGATAAAAATTACAATCCATAGTTACATTAATGATTTGGTTTTCTCAGAATTTGATTAGTTTCATTTCAGTTCGTTATTCAGCTTGAATTATTCCTTAACTGGAATTATAACCATTTTGTTTTAATATATTATCGACTTTTGATCTGAATATTTTAATAAATTCTGGTTACATTGTGAAAACTTTGAGTTTGTTAATTTATTAATGAGATTTTATTATTATAAAAGAATGAATTTCTCTCGCCCATTGAAGCTATCATGCTCATCAAAATTGTTGAATTATCTTGTTATTTATGCAAATAAGATATGAATTATAATATAAACCATGAAAACGATCTGATCTACTGTCGGTGTTAACATCATATGAGTAAATAAAAAATTGAAAGGACTTGGAAATTTTGACATAGAAAATGTTCTAAGAAAATTAGATAAACAATGTTGAAGTTTTCTCTCTGCCATGAATGAGTGCTAGAGACATGATAGGATTCGAAAGATAGATAATGAACCAGATGATTGGTATTAGATAAAATTCTAAGGGGAAACTCGATTATCCTTTTGTTCATCATTAAAATCGAAGTCAAGAATGAAAAGGAAAAGGAAAAGAGGATGAAATGATCATGAACGACACCAAGTCAATCTATTGGAGGAAATTCTTGTCTTTTTCACTTAAAGTCTTTGAAAATAGTAAGTCAAACAAGAATCGTCCAGGGAAACGAATTTTAGACACTTCTCTGTATCGAATGTTCTGTCGAAAACTTTGTGTCCACTTTCAATGGAAATGTGAAGATTTTTTTCTCCACCTAAAATTGTACAAGAAAGTAAATGAAAAGTTCAGTGGAATGAAAAAAAAAGAAACTTTTCTGTTTTCTTAAAATTGTGTTGACAGTTAACACACCAAAGTTAAAGGACAAACCATATAAATAAATATGAGAACTTTGAAAGGGAAGAAAATAAGTTCTCATGATAGGAGAAAATTTTTTGATTTTCTTTTCATGATATTCATTTTCGTTTCTTTTCTCAATCCAGAGATGATACGATATTTTCATATACACGATGATTATGAAGATAAAGATATTTAAATGATGAGATTCATTGAATCGGATGAAGAAGAAAAAAAGTTGAATCTTTTTCTCGCTTAGTTAATGCTCTTAAAGATTGGTTTAGAATTGTAAGAGAAAATGTTACATAGATGTAGAAGAGAGAAAGAGAAAGATGATCATCATCTTCATCGATGATGATAATGATGAAGATGAAGATGAAAAAAGATGTAATAAGAATTCATGTTAAGGTGTGGTGAATGGATTTCATTCTCACATGAAAATAACAGGATTATAAGGTAAAAAGCATATTAAGTTGACATGCTAACAGAATCCATTCATTTTCAATTGAATCTAATACATGAATACATTCATATTCATTTCCACCTCCTTTTAGCTTTAACCCATTTCCCCCTTTCTCCCTGTAAGCTGAATAATCTCAGTGATAATATTGAACCTAAAAGGTGGAACCTGAAAAAAATTACTCTTACTCTGATTATCTCTTGATGAATAGGGAATGAATTATTATTAGAATAATAATTTTCCATCTCTTTTACTATTCTGACCCGAATATTAAATGATAATCAATTCTAAATCAATCCATAGAAATCAAACTTTTACCCTTAACAATAATGATATATGATAATAGTTAATTTATTTCATACGAATTCATATTCATGATGAATATTTACCTTTTACCTTTCAGACAATATCCAGCTGGTTGGGCAGTAAATGAGGATTCCCGGAACTGGAAATATCGTCTCTCTGTTTATTATACCAATGAGAAAGATTCTGGACAATTTAAATGTACCACCCCCAAAGGACATTTTAACAGTATCACCATTAAAGTTAAGGGTATGAATTGTTCATTTATTATCATGTTTCATCGTCATTATCATGTTAATCATCACCAACATGCATGGAAATGATCACCTTTTATTACCTTACATTAAGTTTTTCCATGAAAATTTTCTCATCTTTAACCCTGAGAAAAGTGATCATAATTTACATGTAACATGATACATCTTGAAATTTTTATTTTCCTTGTTAAAATTAGAGTAACAATTGAACTCATGGGAATCATGAAATACAGTAAATGAACTTACACCATGTTAATTAAACTCTGGATAAATAATCTTCCCATGGTAAACTCATGATTTAGTTTGATACAAAGAGTAAATTTCACCAATAGATTGGAAATGCTTGGAATATAACTTTCTGTTTATCATGAAAACTTCAATTCCTCCTAAGTACTTAACAAAATACCACCGTCTGGGCCAAGCGTACACTCTGGACCAAAAATTTTCGGTGATTTTTTTTTGCGCGCAATTTGAAAAAATAAAGATAAATTGGTAAGGTTTTAGTTAATGGTGGAAGGAGTGGCTAATGGTTAGTTTTCACACTGATCCTCATCAATTAATCGATTAAATCAATTAACTAATAAGAGATCTTATGGTAATCTTAAGAGAATTAGTGATTATTGTTTTGTGAAAATGAGTTTCGATAATTTTGATTTTTCTAAATTAACTTTAGTTAATTTTGATTCAATGATTAACTACTCTTCTAACAACACACATATTTTGATTCATCTTGAATTCATTGAATACACTAGTAAAAAATAAGACAATATTTTGATGACTGAATACTTCACTATGAGGATGAATTAATATGCTGGAAGGTTGATACTGAAGTGAAGGGAAAAAGATGATTCTTCTAATCGATTAGAGATTTTCTATTGATATTAGGTAAGGTGGGAGGTAAAAAAGTTCTGATCATTTATTACTTGTTATATATTAATAATTATGCAGAACTTTTCTTCTCTTGGTATTATCGGTAATTCTTAGCATTCTACTTGTTTTTTGTTCTATAGTTAAACATGTAATTATTATTCTTCATTCACACAACAACAGTATAAGAAAGAAACAACAAAATCGAATCTCATCTTTGATGAATACTTGGCATTTCGATTTTTTCTTTTGTACTTGTTGGCAAAAGTTCCAGATAAAATACGAAAACATGATATTCAGAGTAGATGAATTTCTGAGTCTCTTAGTAACCATAATAAACTTTTTAGCAATTAGATTTTTTGGACAACATTATGATCGACAAATTATCAATAGCTCAGGAAAACTGTATCTAAACATACCCTCATACCGATTTCTATCACTTTAAGTTTTCACTGAATCCCAAATGCCCTGTTAATTTCATGTAGATAACATTTCATTCTGATTATCGCCACGAAGTTAAATCAAATAAACTCTTAATTTTCATTTATCGGTGGAAGATTTTTGAAATTCCAGTAAAGATAATAAATGTTCCAAGAAAAGTTCTGGTCAACATTTATTACAGATGAGACTATATTTACTATTAAATGTATTTGACACTATCTTAAGGATTTCCTTAGAATTCATTTTATCCTATTTTCTAACGAATAAGTTTCATGTTGTATTCTTACTTTTGTCTTTTCACATTCAATAACTCGAGGATAGTTAATAGTTACTCTCTATTAGATAACAATATTATCGCATTAATATTATCAGCATTTTCTTCGTCATATTTACCTGTCTTCTTCTTAATTTCTTCTTGATGCTATTATAACAAGGTATCGATAATGATATTATTTTGAGTTCCAAGCTTTTTCTCCTCCTCTTTCTTTCATAATCCAGCGAGTTTGTAAGATTTTTTTCCTTCCACCCCCTACCGAATCGATAGGAATTCAGTAGAAATAGTATTTACGATCTAATAGAAAGGAAAGATTCAGAATAGAGGATTTCAAGGTGGAACTTAAGGAAATGAATAAGACTGATTATCGTTAGGTCAGCATTCAGAATCTGAAGATGCCAATTATATTTGTTGAGCTATTGAGAGTTTGATGGCGCAATGGTAACTAAGCTAAAGATACTGTTCTGACTAGGAAAATGTTCATTATCATCTAATCATCTTCCTCATTATCATCCAACTCATTAATGTGATCAACTAGAATAAGACTAAGGTAAAATAGAGAGAAATTATTTCTTCCTTATTCAATGACATTTCCGTACAGTCTAAAATGCTGTAAATATAAAAACTACCCAACTAATGAATGGATTTAACATAACGAGAGTATAAAGATTCACTCATTCCCATTTTCCCTATGAACATTTCATACAAATAAGAGACAATTTATGTTTTCCTTTTGAATAGAAACTCTAATCAAAGGTTAATAATGTTTATGGAAAAAAATTTGTTCCAATTATGAATTAAATAGATCTGAATAATATTCGGAAATGTAAACAACCTTATTTGGTACAAGAAAAATATTCCAAGTTTTTCAAGTAACAAAAAAGTTATGAGAAAAAACTTGCATTTCATTTTTGATGTAAGATATTTTTTTCGTTTAATTTTCAAATACTAATTATCTTTAGCTCAATATTTGAATAATTACTTTATTCGTTGCTCAGGTATATTGAGAATTCATTTGATGAAACTTAAATATCAAAATGAAATCGGAAAATGTTGTGGAGTGAAAAAAAGTTTAATATGATAGCATTTAAATTGATTGATTTTCATAATGTTAACGTTTTGTTTTCACCATGAAAAAACTTTTATATGAGAACCATAAAGTTCAATCAACATGAGAAAAGCTCAATTTTGTCATGTTGATCATGTGTTTGGGAAAACTGATTTTTTGAAGGCTCAAGTGTCGAGAGATTTTTTTTTTGTAATAATGTTTATCAAAACGAATCGAGAGATTGATAAACAATGAACAATATTATCATCATGTCTTCAAGTTTTTGAAACTTTCACGACATTGACCAGAGTTTATTCATTCTTGTGTAACATTTATCGATAAACTATTTTTCCAATATAATATTTTCTTTCTACAAGCTCTTTAAATCTCGGTGTTGCTTTTTTTTCTTCTTATTCTTGATTTAACCATGAAGAGGTGACAATTTTATCCTCTGAATTTTTGATCCAATTAAACTTATCGTAAGTTTCAGGTAATGAAAAAACTTATATCTGATTCACTTGATGGTTGATGGATGTTGAGAAAACATTTCCTCATGTTCACTCATAGTTCATTTATCTTGTTTTCTTCTGAATTCAATTGGATGAATGAAGAGCAGGAGAAAATGTTTCTGATGATGATGGTGATGATGTCATGTGATTCAGACTTAACCACAAAGGTGAAACTTTGTTCATTCAGAGTTATTCATCTTCCATGAAAAGTTTTTTCTTTCTGATTTCAATGGAGAGAGAAAGAGACAAGGAGATAAATATTCCGGATCTCCTGGTCTGCCATATATCAGATGCAACTTATTTAGCTGTTGAGTCCCATGAATTGTACCCTGGATTCATGGTTGTCTTTGCAAGGGTTTGGCATATAATAGCAAAGTATTTATTAGATTCTAGGGGATTGGATGAATCTGAGGATAAAAGAGGAAAAAAAGAGAAGAAAATTTCATCCAGGAAATGATTCTGATATTAACCAGAATAACTCAGGTTTACATGATGAAGATTTGATGTACACATGATTAGTATTATTATATTTATCCACTGAATTTTCAAAGGTTTTCAAAATTACATGGGAAATGCTGGTGTAAAGTAATCAGGTAGTTGATGAAGATAAATGTTTAAGTAGATGATGGTGATGATCAACAAAATTTTAAGAGGATGTAGAGGCTCAAATATACCTCCAGGGTATTATATGTTTAACAACATAAAATATACAATAAAGTTAAGGGTAAAAATAACATTAGGATTGGTCAGTAAAAGTAAACAAAAGTTAACAAATTGGATGACCAGAGGTTGGTAATTTTTCATTAGACATATAAACTGAATGATGGGTTTCTTACCTGTTTGATACAATGAGGACAGAAAGGTGAAAAAAAAGCATCAATCTCAATTTGATTTTCTTACCTTATCATGTTTATCAGGGTAAATCAACATTAACCATTATCAGGGTAACATTCAGATTCCCTTGGTAATATTATTACAATTTCATCTTGAGCTTGTCAGGTTACAAATAATGCAAAGATAAACCTTTGGATAAGATATGATAATTTTACAGAAGCAACATTGTCAATGATGAAAATATTATTTAGAAAATGAGAAATCGCATTCAAATTGACTCAGAATTTACAGTTACCTTTTTTGTTTTCTCATCTCTTATTTCAATCTGTTCCTCTTGTGATAATATTAGTTAAAAGTTTGTTATCACTCACATGGGAAAAGTGAGTTAACTTTATTGTTACACTTTTAAATTGTTTCATTGTTAATCAATGATATTGGTAAACTATTACATAGATGAGAGTAATTCACTCATGAGAATCAGGAATTACCACCATGATGATCATGATAATGGTTTGTGAGTGAATGTAGAAACGATGAATATCATTTCGATTGAATCAATTTCTCTCTCTCTCTCTCTCTCTCTCTCTCTCTCTCTCTCTCTCTCTCTCTCTCTCTCTCTCTCTCTCTCTCTCTCTCTCTCTCTCTCTCATGTAGATATTATCATAATATTGAGTATAAATTTTCATTCTAAGAAAATGTTCAAATATTTGAAGATAATAATAATTTTATTATCATACCGAATAAAAAAGTACAGAGGTGATTTCACTTAGAGAAACTTCACTTAGAGAAATTATCAGCGCCCCCTACATAACTGAAAAGGCCAATTTCTTATAAAAAAAGGTGAACTAACACTTTACCTTTTCCAAGCCTAAAGGCACTAATCCGCCAGGAGGAGACTGTGAAGACCGACTTTCTCTAAGTGAAATCACCTCTGTAATAGTAATTTTTATCATTCTGTTCAGAGGTTTTGAGGAACCTTATCATCATGATGTTCATGAGACAATCTCAGCTGCAATTGACAG